CTTACCAATAATAAACCATAAACCAATAAATCATAATTTCTGGGCTTTGCAAGGTTCCTCCCCAATTGAATATGGCCAACTTTATACACCAAAGCGTTCTTTTTTTAAAAAGATTAATGATTCAAGTATTCATTTACAAAAAAACATTGTACCTAACAAATCCAAAAAAAGTGTTATTGAGGCGGAAAATCCTTGCTATTAACTGCGCAAGAGGTTAAGCCATTGGAAATCTTCCTTCCCAACTCAGTTTGTGTCTTGGCCAAGAATCGGATGGTAAAATTGCTTCATAATTAATTCAGATTCATGCCTGGAAACTTCGTTGAGATCAGCTCAGAAGGAATGCTCATTCGAATAGATAGAGAAATGTCGAATGTCTAAATATGCCACTCAATATGATTTTGCTTCAAATTTTTTTGTTTTAAGGTGCAATATTTCAGATGGACAGTCGTAATACCACCGAGTACAATGCCTTCAAGAGCTATCCAAGTTCGGCTTCCCTTCTTTGGCAGAATTTTCAGATAAAGGAGAAAATTGTTCACGTGAAAGACACCCACGACAGCTTTCAAATGGCCAGTGCAAGTAAGTGAATTGATCTTTCTTAATAAGGACCCATTTCCATTGTAACGGGGCGCCTTAGAAGGACTTTGTTTCCATATTGTTAGTTTAAATATTTTGTTGGCCTTTTGGTATTGATTAAATCCACATTGATTATTAAATAATGGTGAATCCTAGAACGAGATTGTTGTTATTTTTTTGCGATTCTTCTGCGGCAAGTTTAAATTACGTTTCACTCATTGCAGCTTATTAACAAAAAAACCAATTTTGTTTAATTGTGGTGAGAAAAAATAGAAATTTCACTTTTATATAGTTCTAGAGAGGAGGCGTCTACAATGATGAGTTCGAATTTGACATTGGAATTGGCGTAGATTGTTCATTTACGACAGGTTAACTATATGCGTGCAAAGTCATAAACTATGGCCTTGCAGTTAAGGTATCTTCTCGATTTGTATTCCTACTTGTCGAAGTGTAAAAATCATCTCCGGTATAAATTGCTGAATCTTACAGAAGAAGTAGGTCATTCCCCTCTCCTAATTTTGGCATAGGTCTGATTGGCAATAAACGTACCGTTTTGAAGTATTCCACCAAGTTAACTCACAAAATCGGGTTCTTCTGACCGTCAGTTGGTAAATTTGTGATTACCTTGTCGCTCATCCATGAACAAAGAACACTAAATCAGTGATCTCCCTCAACATATCCTGATTTAGTCTGTTCCAACTCTTTCTAGCACTAACTTCCTTCTTCTTTTACACTCATTCTACAGTGTCATCTTGGTCTAATTTAAAGCACTTGTAGGCCAATAAAAGTTAATTATTTCCTCGAGGTGAAATCTCCACTTAACATCTTCATTTGCGCAATTCCCATAATTGTAGACCATCCTACTAAAATACCCTGGTCATTAAAGGCGGAAAATTAGATCCTATCATAGCTGACCTGTATTAATTCTCAAAGCAGCTGCTTTGCTATTCTGCTTAATAATTTACCGCTCGCATCTATCGCCCCATCTCTGGAGAGTATTTATATTGAATTCGCATCTTCCCTATGTCTCTCGATCTCTCCCACTCTCTCCCCCTCTCTCCCCCTCTCTCTCCCCCCTGGGAATTGAAATGGATTATTTCAAGGAAATTAGCCAATTTTGTGCTAGCTGCTAATAGCAACGTCTCAAACGAAATGACAATGAGAATAACGCTATCTTTGCGTGCTCTTTTTTCCGTTCAAAGTAGCTTCAGGGTTTGTTTTGTTGAATGGAAGCTACCAAACAATTTATTGCGTAAAAGAAGGAATTGATGATCAATGGACGAACAAGGGTTTATTTACTTAGATATACATATATATTTGAGAGTCTTATGGTAATGAAGTGCGATAAACTGGGACAATATGGTTAGGTTCCGGGGATGTGCGATAGACTTACCTCCACGTGGTGCACCCTGGGCAACGTATAC